GGATCCTACCTTATCGTCAGCTTCGTTATTTCTCAAGCATATTCGAAGGTCTTTCCGAAGAATCGGAGCAACTGTGCGCTTGCAAACTTCGACTCCTAAGGTTGGAACACAAGCAGTCTCAGGATTAATCCATTTCTTCTGCGCAACATGCTACGTTAACTCGTATGGCCAGCACTCTGATGGAGTGTGAAAGGAGCTGAATAGTGGAGGAGCCGAAAAGCACCAGTCCATTCTCGCTTTGCTTTGGTGGGTGATTTTTCGTGATCAAAGTAAGCTGCTGAAGCTGCAGATTTTTTCCCTTATCAGGCTGTTGTCTGGCGCTCTCTCATCTGTAGCGCTCTCTCGCCTCATACTCTCCTCTCCGCGCTTAGTCTCTCATTCCCTTAGCACAGCCGATTAGGAAGGTGAGTGAGCCCTTAACCTAAGCGTTTTCGACGGATTCTTTTCCTTTTTTCTTTACTGCCGGCCCATTTCGCACCAATACATTCGCATTCGTGTGCAAGAGCCACACCAATGTGATCCTGGGGCATGCCTTCTAACGTTTCCGTAATAGTGAACTAGAATCGCTAGGTGTACTACATATTTTTGGAATCACATACGGGTACTTCGGGGCGGAGGTAATCTAAATACATAGTAGCAAGTGGAGTCACTTGCTAGGCGCACGATTCGTGGCTCAGGAACCCAATCATGGCTCCGGTATCTTTCAGAGCAGATAGGCAATCCAATACCTCCGCGGTTGGTAAATTGTTCGTAATCTTCTCTAACCATGTAAGAGGATAAAAGAAAAGACGCGTATGTACGTAGGCTGACTTCAGAAGCCATTGTACCACTTATTATTACTAAATAACTGCTTGAAAATTCGACGCAGCGTGCACCATAACCATCTGCGGTAGACCATAACCATACAATGACTTGCGGGGCCAGCCGATGTACAAGTCAGTGTTTTTATCCTCCCAGACAAGTCTGGTACCAATTAACCGACCCCGGAGGGATGGAAGGCTTGGTTGGCCCGGGCGACTCACGACCCAGGATTTGATCCCGGACCGCTCGCGTGGTAAGCGTGCCACTTGCCACTACACCACTTCCGCCCTTCCGTATTAGCTGACTTATTCCTTTGATTTTGCTATCATCAGAAATCTCCCTGATAATTCCACTTTTCCGGCCAGCGTACGCATAATGCTATGCTGTAAGCAATCGTAAAAGTCCAACATATGTATTGTGCGTCAAGCGCCGGTGCTTTGATGAGTTTTTGCCGGTTCTCGTTCTTGTCAAGGACGCACTCAGAAGAGTGCACAACAGTTGCGTTACGAATGGAAACGCCAAACAAGGAGATCGTGATGTTTTTGTTCCGTAGAACCGATTTTTACATCGAATAATATGTGACGAACATCGAACCTCGACCTTGTTGGGGGTCGAAGGTAAGATTACGTCATGCGCGGATTTTATTGGTGTTCGGGAATAGAGACGGGTTTCTCGGGTTTGCTTTGCGGCGCAACAATGAATTTTCAGGCATTAATGGTTCTTAGACTTCAAAGTTCTATTTCCTTTGAGAATTTGGGAAATAGCCGATATAGCGAACGGTCGTCGCTTTATATTGTTTAAAGGCACAACCCAGGCAGAGGTTTTTTATAACTCTTCTCTTCGGTCAGAAGTATAGAACCCTAGGGGACAATCACAAATGTGGCGTTCACGTGCACGGAATTCGACCGACAAGAACGCTTTGGGCTTGCAAAGTAAGCTGCTCGAGCTGCAGCGAACGAGCTCTCTTATCAGGCCGTTGTCTGGTGCTCTCTCATCTGATGCGCTCTCTCGCCCCATACTCTCCTCTTCGCGCTTAGTCTCTCGTTCCTTTAGCACAGCCAATTAGGAAGGTGAGTGAGCCCTCAACCTGAGCGTTTTCGACGGATTCTTTTCCTTTTTTCTTCACTGCCGGCCCACTTGGCACCGATACATTCACATTCGTGTGCAAGAGCCACACCAGTGCGATCCTGGGGCATGCCTTTAAGTATACTTATATAGTCTTGCCTGTGCCGAATCCACCTTCTGTTCCGATTCGGTGTGATGGCGAGGGTGACTCCACTCCCAGCTGCCACTGCGATGGTCCCACAGGTGTTGGTGGTGGTGGTGGTCGAGGTGGTGGCAGCTGAGGTGGAAGAAGTCCAGGTGAAGGAACTGAATCACTACACTCATTAGAATGCTCGAGTAAAAAATCTGTGAAGAAGGGAACCATTTGGCAAACTGTCGATCCATTTTGGATCACTGCCAACAAACATGAAAAACAGGTGCTGCCTTCCTATACCTTTAGTCTTACCTAGAGAAGCAAAGAACCTCCTAATATTGTCAAGGAAGTTGCCAAGCTGGCCACCAGGATGCATTGGATTAGAGTCTTGAGTGTTCTTCCAAACTAAAACATTCTTCAATTGATCTGTGGTGCAAAGACGTCAGGCAGCTTGCTCACCTGTAAAAGGCTTCCCAAGCCGAGACCATTCGTTCCTGCGTTCAGACCAGAGTCAACACCAACTCGTTCATTGGCTACGATCGCGTTCTCCGTTCCTGCACATACCTTTTAATTCCTAAAAGTGAATCCCTGGAAAAAGTAAGCAGCATACCGCTCAATCCAATTGCCTGCATTGTTGCCAAGCATCTCCGAGTGCACGATGTCCACCGAAAACCGAATATGTTCGCACCTTGGCTCATACCCATATTCCATCCTCCATTCTGTGCTGGTAATAGTGAGAACTGTCCCAGGTTTATTTGTGCTTCCACTGCTGAAAAGCTAAGATCAAGTACTGCACCACAGTGGTACAAGTTGTGAAACATTTTTCATTGGAAAAACTTACCAAGGCAGATTTAACGAATGGAAAGTTAGCTCATGGGTAGAGTCGTTCAGTGACAGCAGGATAAGAAGAAATTATTGGAATGTTTAGAACCCGAAAAAATGGGCCCCTTCCTTCCCTTGATGTGCGCATGGATCGACTGACCAACTTCAACACGAACGCTCTCTGCTGTATCTAAATCACTCACGCAAATACCACGTATGGAACCTACCGGGCGAAATAGTCGCTGGTGCCCCGCCAACCGCACAAGAGTGAGCCGCGCTGGATGCCGAGGCGAATCTCAGCTTCCAAATTGCGCGTCGTTCAGCACCCTCAGGAGGTCCGCCTGTCTCCCATCCATGCAATTTTCCCCTTCTTCGGCTTTTGTCCTTATCGTCAATTCTTCCTCCAGAGAATGATGGATCAGCTTGTCCGGATATTGACCACCCTGTCCTTTCTTTGCAAGAACTCAAGAATAAGAGAAGATATCTAGTTTTTTTGTGTGCCAAAAAAATTCTCGGTCCCTTGAGAATAAAAGAATCCGAAGAATCCGAAAACGGATCCCCCCCCAAAGGAAAAAACGAAAATCCCAAAGGGTTTGGAGAACGAAAGAAGGCAGGTAATAGGAATCCAGAAAAAGCTGGCACCAAAGCCGCTTGCGCTCTCCTATGTCAGATTTCATAAGAAGTAAGCATTTAGAAAGAAGAGACATTTTTAAGTGAGAAAAAAGAGAGATTTTTGTCGTTTTTCGGTGGCGGTGCGCTCGAAAACAAAGAAGTTGAAGATCAGAAAGCGCATCGAGTCTTAGGACTAAAAAATCTGAGCAAGATCATCTAGAAGCTGGGTCGCATGCGCGTCTGCTTAAAAGGTCTCAATCACCTATAGCAGGGTGCCAGAAAAAAAGCACGACACTTTGCCCATGGCGCACATCATCGAACTTTTCGTCGCACAGAGTGCCTATGTAGTGAGTGAAAGTTCTACGGCGTAATACTCCATAGGTGTTCCCCCGTGAGCAGAAGCAGCCCCTCCTTCGCTGTGTCCCCGCCGTCTCCAGAATATGACGTCATCTACCGCCACCGTCGAGCTCAACGAGGCTTACCGTAATCGCTCCGGCCTGAAGCTACTTCACGATTTCTTCAATGGATTACGATTAAATAACTTCCTCGAGACATTAGCTGTGACTATGCAAAACCACTTTTGACCATCGTTTCAGGGACGTCGTAATGGTCTATGGTACCTCGACGACCCCGTTGAGCTCGTATCGCGAACTATATTTCCGTGGGAAAATCTTCTGATGTCGTCGGTGTAGAAGGCTGTCGTATAAGGTTTAGATAGATTAGAAGGTGCTCTTCAATAATGAGTTGGGGGCAGTCGATTTGATTCTAGCAAAGTGTGATTAATGCTGTCTGAAATGTGGAGTCAAGTGTCTCTTTTTTTGGCCACCCCTGTATTAACTGGATCCGATGTCTGAAACAAGACAGCTGAAAGAAAGTTATCTACCGTACTTAGTGGGCGATGTAACACAAAGAAAGCACGTGCCATAATTCCTCAGCCACAAACGAAACCTTGAGGTGACGTTCTTGTCTAGTAAAAGCTCCCCTTAAGGAAACTCGTAGATGGCTCATCTTCATCGTTGCGCCCAGCAATGTTCTGAGCTTTCATCTTTGAAAGTTGCGTAATCTAATTCAACTCCACTCCAAACCTCTGTGAAACCATAAAAATATTGAGCATTAAACTGTAGAAGGTATTTCTAAGCAGCAGTCCAGGGAGGGTTTCAACTAATCCAAAGCTGAGGTGTGGAAGCATGCCCCAGCCCAAGTGAAGTCGAAAGGAACTGTCACTGAAGTAAAAACTCACCTCTGAAATGCGTGAGAAGGGCTCGAAGTTCGTCGAAAAGGGCGGGTCAACCGAGCCTCGGTTGACCCGCCTCCTTGCTGCTGTGAAGAGCGCTTGCTCGAATAGCGGTCGTTGCGGGACCGCCGCGCTGTATCAGGTCGATTCCATGAGAGCGCAACTGAAGCGCTTCAATTTCGATTGCTGGCAAATAGTTATGTATTTGCAAGCATGCATGGCTATTTGCCAGCAGTTGCAATTGGAGCGCATGTACTACGGGCAGGTTCGGACAACTCGTCCAACACACGTCTCCCTAAACGGCAGGGGGAGTCCCTGTCTAAGCCCCTGCCCGACGTTTTTTTCTACTTTTTCTTTCTCCATTGACCAACTTCTCACCTGCAACGTCATTATAGGTGGTCCTTACCCGAATTCGTTCCTGGATTGTTGCTTTAAGCATTAATTGCAATCCTCCATGTCCGGCTAGAAGGAAATCCGGTACACGCAGTGAGTCAAAGTAGGAACATTTTGAGTGCTCTATGAGTACTATTCAACCATATGAAAGGAAATAGGCCGAACATTTCTTATACAAAACTGACGAAAAATTTCAATAATCAAGATTTAGCTTGCCCGCAAGGATTTAAAATTCTTTACATCCATTTCGAAACATTCCACACATTTCAGCGCTAAACCGCTGGTTTCGTTATGATCAAGATTCGAATCAGGTTCCCCCAAAATATTCGTTGAGAATTCCGAAAATGCGAGGCCATCTCGGCCGTGGGCGAGGTATGAAACGAGTTTGCAGGGAAGTTTGTTGAGAACCTTCATGCCTCAATAACTTTGCCGTGATATTACCGTTTTATGCCACTAATCGTAGAAAAATTCAGTAGAATTGATTCGATTTGCGACAACAGGTACGTTTTATTGAAGAGTGTTCCGAATAAGCTTGGGGGTAAAAAAAGGCAAAAAAACAAAAATGCTTATTAAAAAATTGTGAAAGCTAAAAGGATAAAGCATTCGGCGTTGAACAATCCCTGTTTTAGGATGCGCCACGCATTCTATTTCCATTTAAATTAAATTCGGCCATTACACAACTTGGAGAGCCAGGTGAGTTGTTACCCTCCTACCCACGTCTAGTATCAATGAATCGACCCTGGAGGGTCGGGAAACTTTTGCCTAGATGGCGTGCGATCCGAAAATTGGTCATCGAAACGTGGTGAGCAGCGCCACTTGTCCTTATACCCCTTCCGCCCTATTTCGTCTGGTAATTCCAAAAATGAGTGCAGCATTATGACGCAAAATTCGCATACTGGGTATAGAGCTATCACCTTTCTAGCAGCTCGAGCAGCCCACATATGATATAATAAAAAACCAGTCGAGGTAAAATAGAGCCAGCAAATAGCAGTACGAACAGAATGTGTATTACGGAGTACACTATGAATGGAGAGATACATTATATGTGCGCAGTGCTGTAAAAACCCGGTCTTGAACAAGGAGCTTTGTTTCTATTTCACCTTTGAAAATATGGCACAGTTATGCGATGGTGTACAGAGGAAGGGGGGGGGGTCAGTAACAAGAAGATGTTTTGTCTCCACATTCATATGGGATAAACCACACCTTGCTAAGTTCAAACGGAAGGCAACCAACAGGGTAGTGCTTACGTGGAAGATTCTTCAGGTTTCGTCCGTGTAAGAAGACACTATTAGGTTTTTTCATAAAAAGGTGTGCTCTTGGTGCAGGGTCGTCTATCAGTACGACGTTATCTGAAACGCTGGTGGGAGGGGTCTTACAAACTTGAAGCAACCGTCTCTAGGCAACTAACCACTAGTGAATCACAAAAAAATGTGCTTCTGCATATACATTATACTGAGGCAGTGATAGACTGAGCACGTAGTAAAGAGTGCAGGGAGAGAGCACAACGGACGAGTGTGCACCTTAGGCCAGCATGCTGTGGACGAGAAAAAAAATGACAGCGGTCAAAGCGGCTTGCTAGGCCAGAGTTGTTGCCCTTTTTCAGCACTTCTGAGCCGGGAGAACAGCACATTGCCACATCCGTGCACAGCTTCATATTCATCATGAGAGGAATTCATCTTGCTCCTCCAAATATTGTGAATACTGGTTCTGACCGAAAGGTTTTCCATTTAAAGGGGCTGTCCAAAGGTGGCTCAAAAATATCTCGAATGTTCCAAAGCAGCAGTTTTGACCTCAGCGACCGTCCACGTGTGTTGGCACCTGTTCGAACAAGGACAGGGAAGTTTTGAGTCCAACCGCCGACTTAGGATCAAAAGACAGTCATCAGTGACCATTATTGTTACGGTGTTCTCACGTGCGACGCCCTCAGCATGTCTAGCGAACTAGATGATTGAGAGGCCCTTCCTAATGTTCCCCGGCGAACTCGATAGCTCACCGATAGCACTTCACATCGTGCAAGTTGTTTTGCAGAAAGAAGGCAAGAAGTTGGCAAATTAGCGAAAAGCGTTCCTCAACGATGACATCCCTTCCATGAATACGGCCAATATCCTAAACTTCACTCTTGAATAGAGAGAAACGTGAAGAAGGAAAGCAGAAGAAGCTTTTATCTCCACCTTTCTGTCTTCGGAAGGCGGAAGTCGTTGGATGCGTGGTAGAGGTCTTTCCCCTGTAAAACATTAATACTTAAAGGAAGTGGTCACGATAATTCTCATAGGGACGATAAGGAAAGCTGTGTACTGGAGTGGATAGGGGTCCTGCCCAATGTTAGAACACGTGAAGTTTCAGTGGCAGTGGCGCCTTATCAACGGAGTGATAAGGCGCCGAAATCCACTTCCGTTCAGCAAAAACCAAGACTTATCGATGTGGAAAGGGGTGCGATAAGAGCGTGCTAGATATGATACCGTTATCGTTATCGTCCCGTTTTCATTCTGGAGTGCACCTCTTATCAAGCAGCCGCACCTTCTTATCTCATCGTATCATATCTTCCATGGGCTTACACTCGTCCAACAATTACTGCCTCACACCTTATCGATTGATAACGCGAGGGTAGCAAATCCAGCGTGGAAGCCAGCGTGATCGCTTCCT